AGACAGTGAATCTGCGTCTCATTCAGCTGGTCTGCTGTTACGTTCAGAGATGTTTTATGTAGTATAGTTTCACAAAACTAAAGTCAGACCATTCTGTTTTTGCTTCAAATTTTGAAATTGTACAGTCTAATTTAGATTAAAAACTACTCATGCTGCATGTATGCTGCATCTTTGTTTGGATCTTGATTAAAATCCAGTGGTTGCCTCTAATTTTAAATGGAAAGAGCACAGACAAAGCCTTAGATTGTTCATATTAAGAGATTTATTTTGTGTGTAACTTGTTTGATTTGGGGTTTGTTTTAAAATTTCTATTTAGTTTTGTTATATTTTAATTTCACAAAGAAACGTGTAGCAATAGCCTAATAAAATGACACCTTTTCATTTACTGTATAATTTTGTTAAAACAAATCGTGAGAAAATCGAATCGAATCGCGACTTGAGTGAATCGTCGTGTCCCTTGCGGGGCATCCAGCTGGGGGCGTCCTACATTGGGCACGTGTATTGGAGCCAAAATTAAACCAGGGCGGGCTGGGACGGAATGGAGATATTAAATTCTTTCACATTTGGACGTGAGTTTTGTTTCCAGATAAATGGCCATCGCTCTCCATGAGGGCGCGACTCTGATCCCTGCTTCAGGAGTACTGGAATGTGGTCTCTCTGTTGTTGGGTTTTTTTCTGTTTGAGTGACGCAAAGCATGCTGAGGTTACCCCACCTATTTGAGTGTGCTTGTGAACTTTGGCACCTCCCTGCATTTGTGAGCGTTATGTGTGTGGATGTTTTCTCTATACTGCACGGTGCACAAATCTGCTTAACATTTCAGTTAAAAATCCAAATTATGTACAAGAGAGATAAATCAGCGGCTAGGACGAGAAGAACAGGTTGTTTTGTGAAGGCACGTGCAGGTATGACAAACCCTTTTTTTTTTTTTTTGAAGAGGCAGCTTTTTTCTTTCTTTACCATCAGTTAGAGTTGGCCAGACTCCAATAACTTGTCCCATTGATCTGAAGCTAAAACGACCCTGAGCGTACACACAGCCGGCCGAGCGAGAGGGCAGGCGGATGTAAAAACATTTTTTCACCCTCGTGGGTTTTTTTGTTTGGGCTCAATCCCCAGTCCTTTCAGGGGACATAAAGAAAGCGCTGCCCTCAGCAGGGTCATCTGGGATAGAGCTGCGGCAGAGGCGAGAGGCAGACTATAGGTGGCGATTAGGCCCTCTAATGTGTGATGAATCCTTTTAGAATCACATGATATGAACTAATGTCACCATTTAATTATAAAACAACAGAGAGCGAGCTGAGGGAGGAGGAGTTTGTGTTGGAGGGGGAATCACAGTGACCAGCTGTACTAAAGTGAGAATCGCCAGTATGGATGACCACCTCAATTCTCACATTTTTATTTCTATGTGAGCTTTAAAAGGCATGTTAAAACGGCCCTGCTCATTTAAGATGTCAGTCGGAATTACATTACTGGACACCTGTTGCCAATTGCCCATTTTAAACAGAACAGCAGATATCTGTCCACATGCACATTGTGACTGAAACACAGATTCACTGCCATTTTGCCCTTAGATACTTCCTCTTGTTGAGTATGAGTCCAGACATTCTCTGTACTGAATGGTGCTGGACTGTTCACGGAGAGATCTGTGTGCCTTGCCTTTGTCTTCTGGGTCGTTCTACAATCGCGGTAGCAGATGCTCTTACTTTCAGCTGGCAAAAGGTCAAACTGCAATGCATACAATTCATATACAGTACCAGATCCCACTTTATATTAGGTGTCTTTAAATATTGTGTACTTAATAAAATAATGAATTGTTAGGAATGATGAACCTATTGTGTTCATGTTGAATTTATAAAACCTTTTGCTGCCATTGAGGTGGGATACATGTAAGGTTATGGGCTGGTTTTGGTGGTCTGGTTAGGTTTAAGGGGTAGAGGTAGGGTCAGCAGTGTAATTATATATGTAACTACAGAAATTAATTACACGTGTTATTACAGGATGGTATTTTTTAAATATAAGAACAATGTAAAAACATGTATGTACACAAAAAGTGCATTGTATCAAATGATACATTTACATGTAAGTATAGTTAAGGTCACTTAATATAAAATGGGTCCCAATACGATTTATGATTTTAAACACATTTGAACTGTAACTCAGTTCAGTATATAGTTAATATATACAAGCTTTCAATTAAAAAATTTTTTGTCATCTCTTCTTAAGTTACTGCCCTATAATGTGGCTGTAGTACAAACAAGTTATCACAAATATTTCTAAATATTTCTAAATATAAATATAGTGTTTTGATATACTTTGAGATAAAACATTTCAATTTTATAATTAATATTATATTTTATTTTTATTATATATTTTATTATATTTAATAAAATATTCTTTTTTAATCCGTTTTATTACTGCAGTGTAAAACACCAAAGGGACTTTTATTAAAACACATTAGAATTTACCTTGGTGTTACTCTGCTATGCCTTATATTAGATTGTTAATCAAAAAATATTGATAATTAATTGATTCATTTATTTTGAAGAATGTTGATATCCAAACTGATTTGGTGACCACTGACTTCCATTGTATGGAAAAAAATAAATAAATAAGCACATTTCTCAAAATTTCTCTTTTTATGTTCCAGATAAGAAAGTATGGCTTTCAGGTTTGGAACGGTATGAGGGTGAGTAAATGATGACAGAATTTTCACTTTTGGGTGAACTATTCCTTTAGCCTGCCATTGAATTGTCAGTGGTGTTACTGCTTCCTATTACTGTTAATTAGAAGTAACAAAATAGCAAAGGACAAAACAGAATGGCAGCCAAGGATAATTATACTCAAAATTATGTTTTAAATTGTAAAATTATTTAGTGTAACTTTGATTGCAATGAGATAATGGAAATAAATTCATTGGCACCAAATGGCACCACAGTTACAGTATGATTCTCTTACTGTGTTGTAATGTTCAACATCAACGGTCATTAACTGCACATGCACACCTTGGTCCAGACTGGGCCCCAAACATATTGAGTGGCTTTCCTGATATAAACAACACAGCACAGTGGTATTCAGGCAGAGAGGCTGCATGAATTTCCAAGGTGATTAAAGGCTATAAATAACCGCCTGTGTGTTTTTAGTTCTGGGATGGTGCTCACATAAACACATAGACCCTGCCCTTCGTAGATAGCACTGCAACCTTCAACCTGCAGACAACCAATCGAATGACACCCCTCAAACACTGGACTTAACACCTACTGCGTATCACCTCCTCTTCAATGACTGGCTCCATACTCTTTGTCCCACAAACGCATACTACAACTATCCATTTGAATTGATGCCATTGTTTTTCTTCTTATAACAATCATTGATTACTGTCCTTATTCTTATCATAATATATATTGATACTCCATTAGCTCTGTTTACGGTAACCGTCACATGAGGTTTGCCAGTTTCAAATGAGCATTGTCCCTCCTCTAATCCTTTGGCCCTAAAATAACCCAACACACTTGTCCTCTCATAGATATCTAGACACTGAGCACATGAAACAGCCAGTGGAGCTTCAACTGCTGTGCGTGCGTGTGTGTGTGTGTGTGTGTGTGTGTGTGTGACAGAGTCCATTCCCACAACACACAGCATGTGCTGACTAAATGCAATAAGTGTCAGTTCAAATGGACTAGTACGGTGAGAATTAAAGTTCTCTGAACTTGAACTCCACTGTCAGATCTGACGTTTTTAAGCTGATAGTGTTGAGATCTAACTCCTCTCAGCATCTCTCATGCTTTCACTGTAGCCTCACATGAAATTAATCCATTTAACTTTTCTCCCAGTGCTGATTTATGGCTGAGAAAGTGAAAGATTTTTTAAATATTTCATTTGATGTTTGTAGTTTATAATTGAATATCGTTTACTGTCAAATTTCACTAGCCATATATTTAAAAAAGATCAAGTTGGTTTTCCTTATTCCTAATAGATTTCCCACAGTCTGATCCAGTAGTATAAACCCTCTTTTTGAGATATCCTATAATTATTTTTATTATTAAATGTGAAATAACCACAGACTATACAGATCTGTTTTGATCCCATGACCAGCCACACACTAAGTAACTTTATCCAGAACTGAGGCCTGATGAAGAAGGCAGAATCTAGGTTGTGTATTCTCCAAACAACTGCCACTGAGATAAATGGAAATGCTACCAGATAATTCTCTCCAGGTATTACCTTCGTAGCTACTAACAGACAGCTAAATACATTTAAGCTACTTAAAGGGGCAACATTTGTACTTTTACTTTCAGATTCTAAATAGCTTGCCAACAAAACCAAGCAGCATTTGTCTGACACAAACAGAATCAGAATTTCAATTAGGGTCACAGCATCAGATTGTCCATTTCATATTATTTATTGTACGTACATGACATACATCATCCTCTGGCCTGCTTGATATTGCCGTTCCCTCACAGAGGGAGGACTGTGTGGATCGCGGGGGTGATGTGTCATTTTAGTGTCCCTCATCATTCAGTCTCATTCTCACTTCCCCTCTAGGAATCTGGAGTGGAGGACTGATAAGCGTAAAGGTCAGAGGTCAACGAGTGCAAGTTCTTGTTTGAGATGTGCTCAGGCTTCCTGCGGATTTGTTTCTCATTATGGTGTTATTCTTGATGGTTTTGGCCTGGACCACATACAATTGCATGAATGCCTTGACAAGGGTTAGTATCATTAACTTTTAAACTAAAGTCAGGGTTGGTTAAAAATGACAAAATTAATTACATTCTAACCTTTAGAAAGATCTAACAGTTCTGTTAAAGCTTCAGTGAAAATTACTTCATCTTTATTTTTCAGTCTTTTTAATAACCTTTTCACAGAGCCTGTTTAGTGAACAGACCAGCACTAGAAAGCATTTAACTTCAAAAACATTAAATGTGAGTTTTGATGCCTGCCGTGTACAAATGAAAAAGACAGAATAACCAAATTTATGGTACAAAAAGTTTATTTAGTAACAGCTTTGTAAACATTTGAGGTAAATGAACATTTACATCAACTTGTTCTTATAAAATTGAATACACAAGGCACTTCTCTTAAGACAGCATTGAAACAGGCTGCTGTTCTGAGCATATGTAGGTGGTTTGTTTCCCTGATTGGTCAGAATAATCAGCTCTGCTCGAGAAAATCAGTTCAAGAAATGAGTGTTATCTGAGAATAATGGGCTGCACCTAAGTACACTACAAACGGATCGAGATAGGAAAGAGCTGGCTGGCTGGCCAATTCAAATTCAGAATGGATGAAATGCTATAATGCACAATGTTCAAATTTTCTGCTGTCCTTTCAGGCCACCACAACAGTCCTAAAATAAAACATGGGAAACGTGTATATGTCTTTTACTCTACAAGTGCTGTTTTATAAATTACATTTGATGTTAAGTGGAATAATACTGCCATCAACACAACGACTTTTACCATTAAGACATTTTCCTTTAAGGACAAAAATATTTCCGCCTTTCTATCAATGTAAGAATTATTGAACAGTGTCTTTTGCCTAAATGTGCAAATCTTCAACTTTTTACTAAAATGTAAACTTTAAGAACCGAAAAATGACAAAATAACACACTTTCATTTATGGATACATTAAAACAGCAGAAAATAAATAACATACATCTGTAAATACTGTGATCTGATAAAAGCAATGGTAATAGTGTCCTAAGCACAAACTCTACGTGATGAAGCAATGTACCATTTCTATTTCAGGGCTGACTGTTAAATGGATTGCTGAAATTTATACCTGATAATAAAAGCAACATACATTGTGTTTCAATGGGTCTCAAGAACAGTTTTCTAAAAGAAAAAAAATCATGTTGTGCTGTCATGTTGTTGTGGTGGTGGGGGGTAAACTCATATCAGCATAAGACACTTGCAGCATCTTTTTATGTCCATTTTGAAGTAACTTTTTGGCAACCACGAACTGACTACAGAAAAGCAATGTTTTTTTTACTCATTCTCAACCATTTGCTTACATTTTTAGAAAATGCTCAAACTTTTTGAATTAAAAACCAATAAGGAATCCAAATGTCACATGAGAATTAAAACTCTGCACCATTCAGTAGTACAACATTTATCTAAATATTTCACTTGTCTCAGTAATATGTTCATGTTTCAGTTTATGGATGACCTTCTCTTTGTGATGCATTAAAGTTTGCCACTTTTATCAGGCAATGTGCTTTTTACTTTTTTCTTCCTCAACCTTCTGATTTCTCTTTAGAGTGAGGAAATGTAGAGACAGATGCTGGAACAACAAAGAGAACATTTTAAAAAATGTTTCAAGATGGATGTTCATGAATTTGACTAGTGTAGTCAATTTGACAAGTAACTGAATAGTTACTTCAACTACTTTCTTTTTTTCCCATTTCTCTCATATGCTATTCAAGTCTTCAAAAATAAAAATAAAATCATACACGAGAGTGTCATTATCTACTCAATTAAATCACAGAGTGTATTTATGTTGTGTATTACATGTATTTTTTGCTTATTTGTAATCTGTATTATTGTACTGCAAACATTTTTTATTTGGTGACTTTGAATCAATATACTTAATAAATTGAACTGACTGAATGGAAATTTTGGCATTAAGGCCTTGTCATAAAACTAAATGAAGTGAAATTTTTTCCAGTGAATCATTGAGATTCTGGTGTTAACAGGTGTCCTGCTTCATTCAACTACTGCATAACACTAACCAGCATTGAGAAGCCATCTTTCATTAGCCCATAAGAAATGACTAAACTCTTTGCAATTTTACGTTGCAAAATGAAATTAATAATGAATGGAATACATTTTTTCATTCCAGCAATATGCCTCTCACTTCCTCTTGTTTTTTGGTGTATTGTGTTTTGTCCACAAAAACCTACGCTTTGCAGTGGAGAGCCACTACACCGCCAAATCATTGGGCCTTGCTCTCGTGCTGCTGGCTTTACTAGCCCTGCTCAGTCGTCGAGCATCAGTGAAAATAACGGGCGGCTCGTGCATCTCCACCGTGGTGGTGACGTGCCCCTCCTCCGACCCAGCGCTCAAACCAACGCCAGGGGAGGTGGGGGTGCCGGCGTGCTGAGCGGTGTCTTTGGCTTGCCACCTATTATCGGAGGAGTGGGAGGAGGAGGCAGCGTTCATCTCCCGAGTCTGTTGCTCGGTGGCCAGGTTGGCCCAGTTCTGCTCGGCAGCCAGCCTGTTGTTGTTGTTGCTGATGTAGAACGGCGAGGAATCCTCGCGCAGAGAGTCCATCTTGAACTCGGCCGTAGAGGGCACCGACACTGGCTGGAGGAACGCTCCGCCACCCACTGCCATCTCCGTATAGTCTGGCGGGTAGCTGAGGGTGGCAGGCACAGTTCTAGTAGACCCAGGCTCCGTTTCATCTGCGTCGGGCAGCGACTCGCGGTCGGGGGCAAACTCGTTGGTCATGCCCTGTTTGACCTTCTTCCATCCGAGGTGATAGATTTCTAACAAATTCAGCAAAAGGGACACGCAAGCCACCACAAGCATAAATATGATGAAGATGGTCTTTTCCGTGGGCCGGGAAATGAAGCAGTCCACCGTATTGGGGCATGGCCACCGCGCACACTTATACAGCGGCCGCAACTGGAAACCATAGAGGAAATACTGACCTAAAATGAACCCCACTTCAAACAGGGTCTTGAAAATTATGTTGAACACGTAAGTGCCCAATAAGGCACCTCTAATGCGGATTTTGCCATGCTCGTCTCTGATTGGCGGCTTCTCCTTTTTGCCACCGCCACCCCCACCCCGTCCACCAGACTCCCCTCCCCCTCCATTTCTATGCAGGAGTTCTTTCTCATCCTGGAGCCGACTGGCCTTTCGCAGCTCCTCCTCACGCTCTTTCCGCTTCTCTTCCATACGAACGATGTGCAGGACATGGCCCAGGTAGATGAGCGTCGGTGTGGACACAAAGATGATTTGGAGCACCCAGAAGCGGATGTGGGATATGGGGAAGGCCTCGTCGTAGCAGACATTCTCACAACCGGGTTGCTGCGTATTGCAGGTGAAGTCCGACTGCTCGTCGCCCCAGACCTCCTCGGCTGCCGCTCCCAACACCAGAATCCTAAAAATGAAGAGTACTGTCAGCCAGACTTTGCCGATCACGGTTGAGTGTTCCTGTGCATTCTCCAAGAGCCGTCCAAGAATGCTCCAGTCACCCATGCTTCACGATTTCTAGCCTAGAGAGAAAGTACAGTCTGAGGGAGAGAGAGAGAGAGGGAGTCAGGTGAGAGAAAGGGTTAAAAGGGGAACAGAGAGGATTCATCAGAACTAGTTAACAAAATAACTTGTTACACTGTACATGAGACCATTTGGATCTTCTCAGGCCTGCACTGCCCATTCAAACAGGCACAGCTAAAGGTAAATGAATGTACAAAACACGCTCAGCCCTCATGAACTCACACAGCATTTCACAGTTCTGCATAAGATCTGAATGGTCAGTTCTGATGAAGCCCTTGCCAAACCCCTGCACAACTTTATCAAATGATGTTTAGGAAAACCAAGCAAATCAACCTTGTCATTGATCACTGTAAATATCACATTAAAAAAATGTTTGACAAACTTATGGATTCCGTGACCCCTCACTATTTAACTCTCTAACTGGCTGCTATGAACCTGGCATGTACAGTGTAAGCAAACTCTCTCTGGCTCGCTTTCTCTCCAGTCACTGACACACACGCATACACTCGTACACACACTTTTTCACCACACTCATACACACGGTCTCTTTCTCTCTCACCTGTTCGCTTCACTGCCCAGCAGGCATGTGCTGAGATCAACATTATAATGTTCAAAAACAGTTGAAAGCGTTGACTGGACAGTGATGCGTGGAGGGCCCTGATAGAGCCAATTTCAGGAAATCAAGGTGAAAAAAGCAGTGAAATATGGAGACAGGGCACTGCCAAAACCAGGACACTTTATAGTTTTGAATCTTCACACAGATCATGTCTAAATGAGTATAATTAATTGCCAGCAAAAACTACAATTCATGAATTCACCCTGTAGGTGCTGTAAGTGCTTTGAAAAATTTATGAATTCGGACATGAGTGTCATGATATAACCTAAGGATTTTGATCAAAAACAGATTCATCTTATCATAATAAGCTCAAATAAACAAGAAGATTGAACTAGATGTAACAGAACAAGATTGAGATGGTATTGCCATAAGTAAACAAAGAACCCCAAAAGAGCTAAATATACAATAGAAAGAAAAACAATATATTTACTTACTAAAATGATGTTGTATTGAGGGCGGCAAATCCATCGACTAAGGTTCTAAATCAAGTCTATGACCCTGAAAGAGAAAGTGCAAGTTACATAATAAGAATAAGAATAATAGAAAACAGTTAATAATTTATTTTACATTTAACTTGATTTATTTTACATTTATATCTTTTTACATAACTTTATAGAACTGTAAAATAATTATTTAGATTATTTTTTTAAATCCTATACAAGTTTCATAGATGATAATAATTTTAGCCCTTTTATATATTTTTAATTCCAGTAAATTATGGTCTAGTATGGCTCGTTTCTATCAAATTATCCTAAAAATCATTTAGTTCCCAAGGCAGCTATCATTTTCATTAGATATTAAAGTTGCTAGTTTATAATTATCACTAAATTATCACAACTTTGATCTATCAGCGAAGCATTTAATTACAAAATGCTGCTGTTTACATAATTAGCTGATGATAGTAATTGTCCACTGTTCTCACTGTACATTCTGGTCAAACTGTCAGAGAGAGGCAGATTTTCTATTTGCACTGATTATGCTCTGATACCTGTCATCTCAAAAAACAGCTCTTTTCTTGAAATGTGTCTAAATGATGTTAGCTGTTAGAAAGCAGAAACCATTCAAACTGAAGTCTAAGTTGATGGCCTACTAGATAGCAAAAAGTCATATTAATTGATGTGGGATGTAAAAAGATAAAAGAATTGTACACCTAACTTAAAGCATACCTTGACTGAACTAGGCAAACTTATCTAAAGAAAGCAATATCCAGCGGCCACTGGTGCCACAGTTTGAGTGCGTTGAAAGCATACAGACTTCCCAAAGGTAGCAGGAGCCCTCCCCGCTCCCCCCCGTTCCCAAATCCTGGCAGCACTGCCAGCTTACCAAACTCTTTTGAAAGTGGCCGGCCAACTTATTCATTCACAAAAGTTCTTCACACATAGACCCGAGGTCAAACTCTCGTAGAAAGCCTAGTTTTTCATGGCAAATCGAGGGTGGAGACGAGGTCTCACCAAGCGCAGCTGTCTCCCGTTCCCAGCCATCGCTACTGTCACTTTGAGTGGTCATGCAAGAGTGCTGCGTTCAGAAAGTGGTCGGCCAGTCAGAGCGCACGACACGCCCCTGTCAACTGGGGTAAACTCATCGCCCCAACTTAACTATAGGCTACTCCAACACATACTTTTACATGAAGACTCTATTTTACTTTAGGCTCTATTTTACTTTATACCACAGAATATTGTAATAATAATAATAACAATAGTTTAATAATAATATATGATTGTACAGGCGGTGTGCCAGCGTTGAGATTCCTTATAACAGAAGTAGGACGTTTCACTGATTGTATCTCTCCGCGGTCCATTCAAGCAGTCAGTCATTGTTGCGTTGTTTGGCACTTTGATTCTGCTTTTTCGTTAGCGGAGAAAAATCAAAAATACATTTTTTAATGACTTTGTTAAATTCTTGTTTATAGGCTATAACTGTTCTATACGACGGCGTTTTCAACGTGCCACGTTAAAAAAAAAATCTAAGATTACGAGATAAAAAAGTAGTAATATTTTGAGAACTGAATCAGAATTACGAGAATAAATTCAATACGAAAATAAAGTCAAAATGTTCTGAGAATAAGATCGAAATTACGAGAATCAAGTCGAAATATTTTGAGAATAAAGTCAAAATTACGAGAATCAAGTCATAGCAATTTTGAGAGTAGCCTTGCGCATGCATGCAAATGGCCCTGATATATGTGATTACTAGCAGAAATCATAGCCTACCATATGTCATATACTTGCAGGGACAGTAGCCTATATGCTTGGAAATAATAGCCTATTTCACATCTTCGAATGCATTCATTATTTGTAGTGCGCCAGCCACCCAAAAAGAGCATTAAGCCTTGTGATTTTGGTACTTTTAATATAAAACAAAGTCTCAGCTTTCAAATTCTGTCATTTTTATAGCGAAATACAAACAATATGTTTTACAATAATGTGTTTTTCACGCACTTTAATGTGGCGTGACAGATCGCTGTATTCGCCCTATAAAGCGGCATGTGAAACATTCGAAAATTATAGCCTACTTACTATTTTTTCATGCCTTCTGATGTTCCTTCATCATGCTACAACTTGTGATAAAGAGGAGAAACACATTTATCATTTGTATTTAGTGATAAAACTGACAGAGTTAAGCTCAGCTGTGTTATATTAAAAGCAACAAAGCTTATAAACGATTACTATGGGTGGCTGCGCGCTACAAATTATAAATGGATTTGAAGGCATGAATTATAATTTCCAATCATTTATTATACCATGAATAAAACAGTGTGTGAATCGTCACTTAAGGTTAAACGTTATTTACCTCAGAAAAGACAACAACAACTTAAAATAACAAGTTGAATTTCGTAACTTTTTTTGTTGTTGCTATTTTTAACTAACCGAGACAGTGAAATTATTGCTATTGCTTAGATATAGGCCTATATACAGGTGCATCTCAATAAATTAGAATGGAAACGTTTTTACTGAAATGTATTTCAGTAATTCAACTCAAGATGTTTCTTCATCATGCTACAACTTGTAATAAAGAGGAGAAACACATTTATCATTTGTATTTAGTGATAAAACTGACAGAATTAAGCTCAGCTGTGTTATATTAAAAGCAACAAAGCTTATAAACGATTACTATGGGTGGCTGCGCGCTACAAATTATAAATGGATTTGAAGGCATGAATTATAATTTCCAATCATTTATTATACCATGAATAAAACAGTGTGTGAATCGTCACTTAAGGTTAAACGTTATTTACCTCAGAAAAGACAACAACAACTTAAAATAACAAGTTGAATTTCGTAACTTTTTTTGTTGTTGCTATTTTTAACTAACCGAGACAGTGAAATTATTGCTATTGCTTAGATATAGGCCTATATACAGGTGCATCTCAATAAATTAGAATGGAAACGTTTTTACTGAAATGTATTTCAGTAATTCAACTCAAATTGTGAAACTCGTATATTAAATAAATTCAGTGCACACAGACTGATTGAGATAGTGAATTGGTGGGTTTTTGTTAAATGTAAGCCAAAATAATCACAATTAAAAGAACCAAAGACTTAAACTACTTCTTAAACTACTTAAACTGTGTGCATTGAATTTATTTAATACACGGGTTTCACAGTTTGAGTTGAAGTACTGAAATAAATGAACTTTTCCATGACATTCTAATTTATTGAGATGCACCTGTATGTGAGGAATGAAAGGTTGGACGCCACAGACTTTTTTGCGGAGTAGGTGGCGGATTTTTTTTAACAAAGAAAACAGTATCATTTAATGAAACGAATGTCTCATTATAATGAAAAGATGATTAAATCCCATGCCGCTTAAACATGGGGCGAATACAGCGATCTGTAACGCCACGCTAAAGAGCGTGAAAAACACATTATTGTAAAGACATATTGTTTGTATTTCGCTTTAAAAATTACAGAATTTAAAGGCTGAGACTTTGTTTTATATTAAAAGTAGGCTACCAAAAGCACAAAGCATAGGCCTATTCACTCAAAAAAATTATTCTTGCCAGTAATTGAAATGAAGCAAACAATTTAAATAAAGTATATTTAAAAAAGTATAAAATAATAATTATTATTCCGAATTACGCTTTCTTAACATGAACGTAATGAATCCGAAACCAACCTGATCAAATTACATAAACTATACCTAATTTGTTGCAGTAAAGCGCGAATGCAGATGTTGCGCATGCGCATATTAGATAAAAAAATAAAAAATAAAAATAAAAACCTGAAGGCGGCAAATCGACTAGGTCGCGACGACGGTGACTCAACGGTAGCCAGGAAGATTAATGAAGAACAGATGAGGAGATTATACAAGGTAAGATATTTTCTTAATTTATAATTGATGTAGACTTAAACATATAATTTTGACTTTATTCTCAAAATATTTCTACTTTATTCTCGTATTGCTACGACTTTATTCTCGTATTATTTTCAGTATTATTAGTTTAATCTCTTAAACTTAGGTATAATTTATTTTTTAACGTGACACTAAAACGCCGTTTTACAATTGCCTAACATATTTAATAATAAAATCACCGATTGTCCTGCAGGTGACCGCATGAATCTGTCTTCTTACGATGCACTGAGGGCTTTACGATTACTCGTAGATCTACGATGATTTTCAAGTGCTACTTAAGTTACGATGCTTTTGGGAAACAGACCGTTTGCACAGCCATTGCATTCCTAAGCTCAACAGAGTCGTGTGTGATTGGTTATAATGCGCAACACTGTAAAAACGCCTAAAATGAAATACGGTGCAACAAGAACAAATCTTAATTTAATGCCGCAGTCGACACTTTCTATTCATTTACACTTTGTTAGCAACAGACGTAATAGATTTAATTTGTTTAGTGAATTTAGTGGCATTTTTGCCCCAAGACCCCCAAGACCTCACGCTCCGCCTATGCCTACAGGTAGACTACTTGAAAGTGTTGACATTAGAATTTTAATTATTAGCCTACATTAGTGATTAAAACAGTTAGCCTACTAAAAGCTGGGGTGTGGTAGTAAACTGGCAAAAAGACTAGCCTAGTCTTTAGTCTAGTCAAAATTCTGGAATCTTTGTACCGCATGGGAAAGTATCCAGCAGCAGGCCTTCCCTAAAATAGAAACGCACCGCTCTCCATTGGTTTTCCCCACGGGAATTACAATACTGACAAACCGCAAACATTTAATACGCTTTTTATTAAGGTATTCATATGAAAGATAAGTTGTTAGCCAAAATTACAAAGAAATTTACTTTTACAAACAGTTGGCTAACAAAAATGATCACAGCTCACTTTAGGAAACAGCAGAAGATTCCCTCAAATACCATGTGGAAACTTTGGTAACAATAATTTCCGCGGTTTAATCACAGCCTTAAAAACAAAATTGGTTACCGCTGACTCGTAGAGCCTCTCAGAGAGGGGGGAACGAAGCAGAAGTAGCACAGAGTAGGCCTACACGCCACTAGACGTTCTCACGCGCTACAGCATTCTTTGTTAACAAATTACTTAGGCACTGCTGTATGCTGATATAAAATCCCCGGTAGGGGTCAATGCAAGGTAACCTTGTGAAACGCCTTAAAACTAAACACAGTTGTGCCGTTGTTGGAGACATTTAAATTATGTACCAAAATAAGCACCAATAAAAACATACAAACACAAATCCAGCTCATCTCTCTCAATGATAGACCCTATTGCTAGTCAAAACTGTTGATGGGCAACAGAAAGAGTAAAATAAATTGCGTTTAAAAAGAAGTAAACAAAGTAAAACTAAATCATGCAAAATTAAAAAGAAGCATTCGTATACAATACAATATATTGTAAATGATCCCTCAAAAAAGGACACTCTATTTTGTGCAAAGACGGTCTTCATTTATGTCATTTGTGACCACTAGGAGGCCCTCTTGTGCTTTTCTAATGCCACTAGAGAGTACTGTTACTGTGACAGGCTCTTGAGTAGCCTAATGTGGAAAATGAATTTCAACAACCTCCAACATTTTTACAGACATTGCTATGCCATATGCCCTAATTGTCTTTTGGCTTGGGGGAGGAATGCCAAGTTTGGAATGAAGCATGCTTGAAACCTGCTGTCAGGTTTGTGGCTTTGTTGTATTCTCAGGGCAGGTTGTCAAAAACAAGGTACAAAACACATGCTAATTCTAATGCTCTAATGGCCTGTTGGTTGAATTAGTCACTGGATGTAGGGATAATCTTAAGCAGTCTTATTGCTTGAAGTGTCCGAAGCAGATGACAGCAACTTTGCGTTCTTTTCATTCTGTAACTGCGCCTTTTCTGTGGACATTTTATCTTGGTGAACAAAAGCACACCTTCTTTTGGCTCTGGACGAGCACCTCAGCAGTGCTTTGAAAATCAGGTAGGCCAGTTCAGCCACATTGAGCACAATGCAAATGGCAGAAGAACCCACCATGAAAATGGTGAAGACTGTCTTCTCTGTTGGTCGTGAGATAAAGCAGTCAACTTTATTGGGACAGGGCCACTGCTCACACTTCACAAGACGGG